TAATGGTGAGAACAGGAGACCTAGCTCCTCTATTGCAAAACATATTATAGAAACAGGTCATAAAATTGACGTTAACAGATCTTTTAAACCTATCTATAAAACGTGTTTGGGGCGTATCCTAAAGTTTGTGGAAGCCCTAGCAATTAGAAAGTTTAAGCCACCTTTATGCGTTCAAAAACAATTTGTCATCACATTAAACCTTCCTTGGTAAATTTTGTTTTGACACCATAGCAGATGTACTATTACCTCTGTTATTTGGTTTAGTGGTCTTCATTGTTACTTTGACCTTGAATATGTCCTTTAAACTTGACCTAAGTCTATTTTTTTCTCACCTCTTACCTCTTTATTAATTTCATATATATTCCTATGACAAGTCCGTGTGTGATCAGATTGTTCGAAATGTGTTGCGCAAATACATTACACGATTCAGACAAATTACGTCTTCTTATTGCTTTATCTAAATTCATAAAGGGAACTAATTATTTTAAAATTCTCTGCTTCTGTCTTCCAGAGGCCAGTTGGGCCTAATTCTTATCTTTTTGTCCTTGATCTTGAATTCGCTGCTGAGAACAATGCTTTTCTCCATCTCGTTCCCTAGTACCATCTTCAATAGTCGTGGGGAACTTTCCGTTGCATCGGCATTTCGTTTACCGATCCTGATGAATTTCCTTATGTGAACTCCATTTGTCTTTTCAAGAAGTACTTCACGAATGACATTGACCATTTCAAAATCATCAGCATGTTGGGCAGCTGGATGTACTTTTTTTGATTCCTCCAAGTTCCAGATTACCATACTGTAATTTGAATCCGAAGGTTTCGCAATCTTATTAGTGGTTACGGCCGTCATGACCTTATCAGTAAGGCCAGTCCATTTTTCTTTCCCATAATTCTTCAGCTTCCTCATTTTTGGCACCAACCAAGTGAAATTAGTTACTTCCACTTTGCTCTCACCGCGAATGAAAACCGTGCGTTCACCAGACAAGCAACACTTCGTCGTTGTAGTGTCACCCAGCGGTCTTATAATGTTGGCACTGCTTGCCCTCCCAGATTTTCAGGACATTTTACGTGCTGTTGCAGTCTTTGGGCACACTGTTCCTCTGTTATGTCTTTCGTTTCGGGTTGTGGTTCTGTCTCAGTCTTATGACTCAGTCCAAAATTGCCGTTCTGGGCATCGGTTCCAGATGCTGGCTGTTATTTCTCAACTTTTTGGATATAAGAAGTCATACGGCCTCTTGGATGAGAACGTCCAATGGGCTGCTACAAACTTTGCACAACCACGAAGATGACGGCTTGCTGCATTCCCTATAGGTTGGTAGTTGTGAGCCAGTGCGAACTTTATGAAACCATGTGTTGCAGCTATCACACTGCATTCCATCATCCACCGGGAAGTGGCAGTCCGGTCTTCCACAGATGTTAGCGAGACTCATGTCGTTATAAGTTATTTAAATTACACAGACAAATATACACATATAAACCTAGATACAGAGAAATGAAAACCTTACAAAAAGTCACAAAAGTGCAGAAAAAAATATTTCAACTAATTAAACCAGTTAAGGTAAACCAGAAAGCTTCTGACGCGACTTACACAACAAAAGCAGAAGTTACTTCACAACGTAAAAATGGCACTCTCCTTTTCAAAGCACTCTGTAGCTATAACTGCTGATAAGACGTCCTGGAGACGGCAAGCATGAAAAGAAGTGTCCTGGAGTGAATCAGAGTGCCGCCATCTTTCGCTGATCGACCAAAGTAAATCTGTGGTGACCTGATGCTTTTATTTAGGCCGCTCTGATAATTAGTAATCCTTTAAACTGTGACTCTGATCCTCTTCATTTAGGCACCCGGTTTTCTCAACCTCTCGGTAGTACTGTTTGTTCCGGTAGCATTCATACTCCTTATTTAACCTCTTCAAAGAACCTTGCAGATCTCTTTTTGAATGATGAAACGATTTTACCAAACTGAAAATGCTGGTAGACATTCTGCAACCTTATTTGACTTCAATTAACTGCATTGCTGTGCTTGCATAAAAGCATATGTCCTGGCTACTTTCCCTTCCCCATGGCACTGTGTGCTGTATCCAATAACGTCAATGTTTCCTATAGTTTTTTGGGTTGAATCGGTCAGTGTTTCTACGTGAACGACTTCAGTGACCATTATTCGGCAAGTGATGTTGAATAAACTGTTGACAGACTTAACCAAACCTGGCCACCTTTTGGGGGTGAACTCCGGCAGCGTAAACATTTTAAAGTATGTATCACTCACCTTATTTGATCATTAACTAATTCACTTTTTGCAAAGTGTGCGACAGGTTTCCATTTAACTCCTGAATATAATTCGTGTATTGAGGCAATTCACTTGAATTTTTTCTCTGATTTTGAGCAATGTATATAGTCTGGCAACCTGAGGTGACAGTTTCTGCTTCGAAAATCCATTCAATCAGTCAAATTACCTAAGAGATATACCTGACTGGTCGGATATATTATGCTCTAGAAGTTCATATATACTCCAAAATATTATGCACAGAGTTTCGTTCTGCTCATTGTAATCATAAACCTTGTGGAGAGGATAGTTTAGAAAACTAATCAAGCTACCGTTAGTTTGAGTGCGCATCATTCCATAAAATGGAGAAAAGTACTTGTCATCACTGGAATACATACAATAGATTGGGAAAACTCTTTTAGTCTGGGTGATGGTGCACTCGTAATGGCTTTGACACCTTTTCTGGAAGACAACGAACTTCGGCGCAAAGGTGTAGAGAGTATGGGTCAGATTTTATTTGAGCAATCATACACTATAGATAGTGTTTAGTTGTGCCAAAAGTGTGAAGCCGGGACCCCGAGTTGAGTCATATGAAGATTCCTTAACGTCTGTGGATGAATTCTGATGTTCGCTGCGACAGACTGATTGAACCAAAATGTCCCATGAGAAAACTATATATTGTGTTGCCATTTATTTAAATACCTCAACCAGTTATTACTCCTTACCGTGTCCTACATACCATTATTTTGACGTTTACACGTTTTCCCACTGCTTCACATCTATTATTATAACCTGTTCAGGGTACTCCAGGACAACGGTTCCTAGCTTCCCTACAACCATTGAAAGGGGAATATAATGTTCACGACTGATGAAGAATGTATTCAGGTATAGGACCACTGACAGTTAGAAAGGGTTTATCAACTCACCACAATGCAGTCATAACATACTGGTCTCTACGATCACCTGTTGTCCGGGATTCGACTTCTTCAGTTTCAATCTGTATGACTAAACAAATTTGTTGCTGAGGATCAAATGTAAATATCAATTGGATTTACGACTTTCTTTGATTTCCCACACTTAAATAGAGTCATTAGTGGGACACATACAGCTTCAACAAACATTTCGTGAACTAGCAGTCTCACTTTTTAACTTCATGAGAATTTTTATGGACGGAAAGCTATACTTAGCGTTATTTGAAGAATAGTAGTCTTCGCTGTTTTAGGCTGGACTGTGAGTTACCAGAAGGGACTAATATTGTCGACTTCGTTGCTCATCTGTCTTTCAAATGCACCGCCCGAGGCTTTAGTTGCCAATTCTGAATAGTGGTATTTTTCCTAGTCAAGACTTGGCACGTAATCCCGAGATAGCTATGGATTTTCCTGCATAGCTATACTTCGAGCATCCTTTCGGGCGTTTTTGTCATAATGATTAATGAGGTCTTGGCATTCAGCGCCTGCTTCCTATCGGCATTTTATTTGCATCAAGATCTTTTTTCGTTCTGTAGGACACTTTCTGTGCCTCTTTTCAGTCAATGAGGTCATATTTTGCCGTTATTATTATCATAAGGACAGAATCGTCGATCGATTGCTTGATAGTACCTTTCAGCAAACGCACTACTCACTCACCTTTAGTGAGTGGTACTCACAAAGCTAAAACGCCAATGATATTGTTTCTACAATCTATGTGAAGCTGGTCTTGTCGTGGAAATGTCCAAGATGAAGGCTTCTTCTGGTTAATTATTCCTTAATAACCAAGTTAAACACAACCGCTCTCTATGAGCAGATGGTTCCTCGTGAGAAGTTGGTCTAACTCAAATGGTTTGCCATTCAACCCTCTTTTGTCATTCCTAATAGTTTTGTGAACATCAGTAATCTTGATGGAGTTCTGCATTTCTCTATTAAAATCTCCTCTACACTTTGTTCTTTCCACATAGTGGTTAGCCCCTTGGTACTGAGTCTTACTAGGAGCGGTTCGCACTACATTTTTGGATTTGGAATACCTATTTTGCACTTTTCTTATATCCTCCTACTTTTTGAGACTGCCTGTTAAAATAACCACGGATGTACCTTATGAAATTATGAGATTCAGCTATTGATGGACAACCAGTGGAAGTAGATTTGTACCGACCTAGTACAACTTAGTTAAATGTATAGTGCTTATTCTCTAGCTTATTATTGCTGGTTACGAAAGCCAGTTGAGTTATCACAAAGTATAAATGTAAGGATCATTCGAACAACAACAAAATTTAATTATAACCAGACACCTCTTACTCAGACGAATCTCTGTAAGCTTGTGAACCCTGATGCTCGCGTAGACAGCAGACACAAAACAACCACCGCTTCAGCGTTTGCCGACCCTGTGTAGATGCCCAACTCTACTGAGATGCTAAATAGAACCGAAAGGTGAGATATAAAGTCTCCATTGAATATTAGATAGTTGGAGGCAATCGACCATAGGAAGCCTTTGTCCTTGGTTTATTGCCAGCTGGCACTCACCAGTCAACAAGGCATATCTGCAACTCACTGAGGGAACTCACGTCCACTTTAAGGTTCGAACCTGAGTCACCCAGTTCTGCAGTCACAGACGTTATACCACTGAGCTATTTGGATTAAAGGACTAGACACATTACACTAGTTACTAACTAGTGTCAAATCAAAGTCCCCAATGGAATTCTGAAAATAAACTGAAGATGTAGTCATCCAATCCTGTGGTCTGCTTCGCTGGGAAGCACGAAGAAAGTTTACTTATTTAAGGATACTTCTTTTTATTAATATGGCAAATATAATAAATACACACAATTATTGGCAGATGGAAAGAAAACAACACATGAAAAGCAAGTGTCAATTAATGGAGTCTATAGAGGTTTTACATCAGCAGATGTCGATGAAAGGAAGGAGTAACTGTGTGAGAGACATATATATAAATATATTAGATGCTAGAAAGCAGGCGCGCATAAATTGATTTTAGAATATCAACAAATATCTAGCTGTATTAATGAATGAATGACAATGAGTAAGTAGGAAGGAAATAGAGGTTCGCGTATTACAGGTGAAACAGCTGATGACTCCTTTATTAGCGGAAAGTAGGTGAGGCTAGATCGTACCTTGAAAAGGAAAAAGAAAGGCAAATTACACAAAATAGTACGAAATATCTTCTGGAATTTATATATATATATATATATATATATATATAGACATAATCACTGGCAAACCATACACGTGTATAATTAATTATTACTCATCATGCAGTAAATGAATTTTGATAAAGTCTCACAGTGTTACACAGTAATTATTTACTGACGATGTCCCAAGCACAATTTATTGCCACTCATAATCACATCAAGTTACTCATACAACTTTCAAAAATATATAATTCCATTATTTTTAATCTCTCGACTTGATTGGTAGTAATATCTTCCACACTTCTGGTATTGGTGCTGATTTTTATTCCAGTTGCAATTGTTTGGTATAGATTCATTGAACAAAGATTCAGTGATCAACCTCTTTCTCTCCACCTACCTATATTACTTTTTAGAATTGTAACTCTGCCCCACATCATTGTGTGCTCGTGTGTTAATGTATGCATCTCAGTTGCTGAGTTTTTTCTCTCTCTCTAAAATACTCATCATCGTGGAATCAATAATTCTACGCTTAGCTAAATTCGTATTTTCTAATAGTCTGAATATCCCCGATCTACTGGTTTGACCTATATAGTTGACTTAATTCACAGTTATTGCAAGGTATTCTTTTAAATAGCATTATTTTGTCTAGTTAGGCCAATGGGGGCCTTTGACCTAAAGAACTTGTTCGTGAGTGAGTTTGTAGATTTAATAGCGACTATAATTCCTGCTTTATTAATAATCCTACGTATGATTTCATATATCCCTTCCTTATATGATAAAACTTTAGATGCTTTTGACCCTTTTTTAATCTTCCTAACACCAACGCTTTTTCTATCTGTTTCATTTCATCATTTCAACTTTTTGATGTATTACTTAATGTTACTGCCCAGTTTGTTAGATATTTAACTAAGCCTGCCTTCACGCATAACTGATGAGATGAGTTAAAGTCTAAATATCTGTTGGAAGGCGTTAACTATCTATAAAGGCTGGTGCATAGTTTACCTTCTTCTGCTCATTTTTTAACAGTCTATCCTAGTTAATCCTCCTTATTCATTTTCTGACCCAAATGAGAATTCTATCCCCTCTATCATTGAGTTTATACGTGTGAATAAACTCGAGATATATTCTGCTTGTACCACGTTGAAAGTGTCATCTACATATCTCTACAGTATCTTTGAAGTAGGATTAAATGAGTATAAAGTGCAGTATTTTCCCAACTATCAATGAAGATATCTACTACGATTGCAGATAATGGTGATCCCATTGCTACACCTTCTGTTTGTCTATATATTTTGCCCTGGAATTTAAAGACAGTGGATATGAAGCATAATTGAATCGGCATCAGCCCCAACGGGTTGATCATTGACGAAATCTCAGCACGGATGCAGAAGACTTGTTTCACATATGCCAGTTTACACAGTCTCTGGCGTAGACGTGATATCCAACTGGCTATCGACCAAAGGGCGTGTGTACTGCTCAGCAGTCCGCTCCATCCTCCTTTATGGCTGAGACATGGCCATTGAAAGTGGAAGACATGAAACGCCTGACTAGCTGTCTTTGATCATAGGTGCCTGCGTTCTATCTCCCGTGTGAAGTGGTAGGTGTAATAGGGTGAGCAATATTGAGGTTAGGCGTCGAGTGCTAGGTAAGGAGGGGAAATCATTCAACAAGGCTGTGAAGCTACATCGACTGAGATGGTTAGGACATGTGTTACGTATGCCTAGTCATCATCTTCCTCGACGGGCAATGTTAGCTGATATAGGGCCAAGCTGGAAAAGAGCTAGCGGCGGTCAAACCAAAACATGGCACCAGTCAATGAAATCTACAACAGTTAGTCTAAGCCACGTAGGAAGGTGTAGACTTTCTGGTTGGGGTCCTCGGGACGGTAAAAACCAATGAAGGCTGGAGAAATTTGGTGATATGGTTCAAAATCGTTCTCAATGGCTGGTGCAGATGCATTCACTCCTTGTGACTTATAATAGCCAATGAAACTATATTGTTCTTCAATATTACCATTCTTTTTGTCTTATATCTCTGTTTACTATCGCTATTTTGCATTTCTTTCTGCTTACTTCTCTTACTTTGTGTACTATATGGAGCGTGGCGTGGTGCAAAGTTCTATGTTGAAATCAGTCAGTCATATAATTGAATCGGTGAAATAATCTCTTCAGTGGGTAGATTCGTTTTCATGATTAAGTTCGGAAGCAGCAGTTAGTTCTTTTCCAACTGCTTCCAAGACCATATTAATCCGTATTTTAGTTTAAACACTAGTTAATATCAAAACTAACCATTCTGTCATTATTCCCTGTTTAATTGTCATTTAGTTTCCTTTTCATTTCTTACGAACGATTTCTGATGAGACATAATATTAGTGCTAAGCTAAGTGGTTTGATAATTCATAAGCAGGGGTGGTATTTCTGAAATCCACTATTGGTCTTGCAGGGTAGCCTGGTTTATGTATTTTAAGAGTAGCGTGTATTCTACTGGCATTATTAGCTTTAGGCCTTGAAATAAACCATTTAGACTCACATGGTGACTCATGCATATAAATCAAGTTGGAAAATGGTGTGTGTGGGTGGGTGGGAAATAAGATGGTGATTATAATATATGAATAATAAGACGAGGTTTGATATCCGGCTGACACACTCCTTTAGCTCGCCTGGCCGGTAGGAATCCCGGCTATGAGGCTAGCAATCCCATCCCATAAAAATAAACACCACTGCTACCGAAACTTCAAAGTTCTAGCTTGAAACTCTATGTTCCACTGGGGGCATAAAGGAATAATAAATAGTAAAGTAATAAAGATGGGAAATACGACAAATGTTGGCAGTCAATAGGATGAGTGTTGTGCCAATAAAACAAAAGAAATAAAATGTTAGAAAATAATGTCGAAAACTGGACATTATTCCCTTTTCAGTGAATATTAATACTATATAACACACTGTGAGACTTTATCAAAATAAATCTACTCTATGAGGGAATTTTAGTCTACCACAGTGCCGAAGTTCTATTCTTATATCAATCTAAAGCCCAAAACTCAAAAAGAAACAAAACAAAATCACACAGTAAGAGACTACAAAAAAAATAATAGAAATATAAGTACTTCTTTAACTTACCATTTTGTCTCAGCATTTCCGTCTACAGAATCAATAAGATTTATACACACAGTTCCCATAAAATGTGTTTTCCCACTACGTGTAAATCGACCCACATGATTTTTTACATCAAGCCTTAAAATAGTCAGAGGAAGGTGTTCAGCTTCAACTGGAAATTGGAAACTGTATAATACAAAAAACAAAAACAGAAAAAACAAAGAAAAAATTAAATTGCAATGTGTTGCTTAGATAAGAAGAAAAACCATCCACTTTTTGACAGACAAGTTGTAACAGTACACATTATAAATGAACGTCAGCAAATAAAAAACAAACAACGGCATCTATTTTATTAATTTTTTTAAAATTTATTTTGATTACAGCTTGATTCCACATCGTATTTTCAGTACAAGTATGGAATTTTCAGCATGGATATCGGTAGCCCAAATTTTGCAGGCCGACCATAGATATCGGCTGTGCGAGAGTCCTAACCACTGTGCCACCGACGCACATATCAAAATTATAATATTTTCGACATATTAACTGATAAAATAAACTTCAGTTTTCTATTTGATAAAATAAGTGAAATAAATATTACTGATCGATAATTTAAAGTGGTGTAGGCTAATTAGTTACAGTCTTTAATTTCAGTGAGAAATTCTAGGATAAATACCAGCCAATGAGTAATTTGCAATCACACCATCGGTGTATACTTTGTCCTACAATATTTTGAATTCTAGATAGTGCTTGTGAGTAACGGGAACAAATAATTATAGTTAATCAAGTGTTGGTTTGTAGGGATTTGATTGATTGGTTATAGGATTTCATCATGAGCTGACATCAGTTAGAGAACCACTGGAAAACCTGGGAGTACTGGACAGCTGTTTCGTCCTAGTTTGGGACTCTTCATCAGTACTCACTCACTGTGGTTCCAACTCAGGACCTTCTGGTTACAAGGCGAGCTTGTAGACCATTGAACCATTGGGACCCGATCCCATGGTTCGTGAGTTCTAACTTCTGCCAAATCACGACATAGCGCCACTCCTAGCCAATGTCTTCGGCGAGTATTTGTCCTCACACCCGACCTGCTACACCCCACTGATCACGACTTCTCACTAGAACCCCAGGTAACTACCTACCTGAATAGAGCCAGTCTGTAGTGAGCATCTCATTGATTTTCAAGAATTGCTTTGTAGGGATTTGATTGATTGGTTACAGGATTAATTACAACCCCTAATTTCCGTGGGAAATTCCACTAGACACTGAGTAATTGAAACCTCACAATCGGTGTATACTTTGTCCTAAAATATTTTGAATTCTAGGTAATGCTTATGAGTAACGGGAACAACCAATCATAGATAAACTTAAAGTAATTTGGTGGATGGTGATCAGCGGTGAAATCCACCAGGATGCGTACTCCGCCCTACTTGGGACTCCTTAGCTGAACTTATACCTGCGTTCCCCAGTGACTGATTGATGGTTTTCCCATTAAGACTCTAACCCAGTACCCATCGTTTCAAACGCCGAAACGTTATCCACTAAATTACTGGCACCACGAAGACTATTGTGGTGAGAGCTGTCTACTAGCCAAATCGGTAGACAGTAATTGACGTCAATGTTTACGTTCTCAATAATGGTCGAGAGAAAATATGAACAAGACTGATTCAAAAACCGACCACAGCAGACTTTGCGTAGGCGGATACAGTTAACATATAGATGATCTGACATTCAAGAAACAGTCACAAAGCGATGAAAGATTAACTTTACGTGAGAAACAACCAATCGGAAGACTGTGTTTGTTCGCTTAACTAATATATAATAATGTACATGAAAATATATATAAATATGCTTTGATTTCCTTAATGAATGATCTGTTGCCTGGCCCTTGTCTTCTGTTGTTACACTATCTCTTCTGCAACTGCTGTCAATTCTTATTTATTTTGAATTCAATTTTGATTTCCTCATTGACTGATTAGACCGAAATGTCCGGCTTCTGTTGACATGTCGGTAACTTGTGCGGATAAAATACAGATCCTGCAGGACTCCACTACTAGTCACCATCTGCCAAAATATTAGCATATACTGTTATTTCCTTTGGTTCTGAGTGGAACATAGGGCTTCAACAACACATCTCCACATTGTTCTATTTTCTACCATCCTCTTCAGCTGAGTCCATGATACCCCATAATCTTTCATCTCCTCCTCTTCCTCCTCATCACCACAAGGTCTCCTCCATGTCACTCTCACACGGACGACCCACTCTCGCCACTTCCCATTGGGATCCCCCTAGGGCTATGGCCTGCATTGCGCGCGATGGCATTCGACGGCCGTGTAAATGGATGCCCGATCCATCTCTACTTCCTCCTGCATATCTGTTGAGCAATCGGCTCTTGGTTGGTTCGTCACCAGCCATAATTTCTTGTCACTAATTCTTTCTAGCCGGCCAGCTGGCTATTTAATCTTCATCATGGAGCTAGCGGAGGCAGCTGTTGATGAAAGTCTCCAGTAGCCTGTTGGAAATCCTTTTCGTGACTGACGCGCAGTGCAAGTTTCTGACCCGTATAGAAGAAATGACTTCACATTTGTGTTGAACAGAATCAGAGTCTTGTTCTTTATGCTGACTGAAGTGTAGAAGATTTCCGAACTGGTTTCAGATTGATTAAGGCGTATCTTGCATTTCCGATTCTGATTGGCTTTCATATCTTCATCCATGCCGACTGCCTGTAGTAGAAACCGTACTTCCTAGCCAGATAAGTGAAGGAAGTAACCTCGTCTAAAAAATCTCTCCAGTTGATGGTGATTGGTGCTGGTTGTTTCTGCTGCTGCTGTTGGCTGGTTATCTTCATCCCCTCCATCCTCTGCATGTTCACTTGCAGTCCTGTCTTTGCTGACAGTGTCTTCAGCCAGTTTGTTGGTTTTTGCCTGCCTCTAAGTCTTCGAGTTTGTGTGACATCAAAAATAAATCAAGTAAATCCTCAGACATCATTAAAGCGTCCGCATTAGGAGCCAACATAGCAATAAAGGCCAAACAACTTCGGTCCAATAAACCAACGGGAAAATCGAAATTGAATTAAAATTATATAATAAAAACTTATTTAACAAAGAACAATGTGAGTTCAATCATCATATACATTGCCTGATTGATTTCCAACATGGTACTCTTCACAGTAGTGCATCAGTTCAAGTTACCACATTTCATATAGCACACAAAGGAAGATGGAAGAGAGATTTAAAAAAACTATAATCAGCTGGACAAAGAAAGAATAAAAACATGGAAAAACATGATAGTTTAATGGTTATGCCAGTGCACAGAGAGCGAATGCATCTGCAGTATTGAGGACGATTTTGAGTTATGTAAGCATCAGTTTGCAGCCTTTGGTTCATAGCATCCCAAAGACCTGAACCAAGTAGTTTATACATCCATACATGGCTGTTACCAATTGTCAAAGACTTCATGTATTGGTACCAGGTTTGGGTTTGACCACCACTAACTCTTCTCCAGCCTGACCTAGTGTCAGCTAACGTTGCTCATCAAGGAAGGTGATGATTCCGGATTCGCAACACATGTCCTATCAGTCACAATCTATGTAGGGCTGCAAAACCTCATGGACTGACTTAATTGACAATACTTAACATTACACATAACCTTAATATCAATCACCCTATTATACCACCTAAGACGGGAAACAGAACGCAGACGCTTATGGTCAAAGGCAGCTAGTCTTTTCATGTCATCCACTTCCAACGGCCATATCGCACAGCCATAAAGGAGAACGGAGCCATCTTCTTAGCAACACACACGTTTTTTGATTGACAGCCGAAAATCACGTCTCTGCCAGAGACCAACATAATTATTTTTATCCGTGCTAAGATTACGTCAGCAACCAACGCATTCATTACGGATGATGAGACTTCCCAAATATGTGAAATAGTCAACACACTCTACTACCGATTCACTCCCTATCTGTCTGTTTGTCTATTTTTGAAATAGAACTTTGCACATATACGCGGCACTTCAAGTCGCCACACTCCACTCCATGTAGCTCACAAAGCAAGAGAAGAAAGTAGGAGAAATGCATATTAGAGACAGTAAACAGAGGTGTGAGACAAAGGAATAGTAATAACGAAGAACAAAACAGTTTAATTGGAAATCATAAGTCACAAGGAGTGGATGCATCTGCACCAGCCATTCAGAACGATTTTGAGTCATGTCACCAATTGTTTCCAACCTTCATTGGTTTTTACCGTCCCGAGGACCCCAACCAGTCAGGAAGTCTACACCTTCCTACATGGCCTAGACTAACTGTTGTCTTTAAGCTAAGAGAGTTGGGGCAGTCCATTCCTGCAGCAGCATTTTACATTTTTCATACATTATTATTATTATTAAACTTACTTTTCTTCGTATACTGGATTTAAATTATCTTTCAGTGTTTTTGTCTTCTTTGAATCACTGACCACATTTCCATGCAAATCCAATAGATAAAGTTTTACGTATGGATCAGACAATCCATCTTTATCAACACCAGTTAAATGCCTATAGATAAAAAAGATAGGAAGAAAAAGTAGTCATCAATGAGAGTCAAAGTGAAACATGATGTATGTACTTCACTGGAATTCTTTCAAGTATAAACAGGTTTAAAAGTATCAAACATTTACAGATAATAATAATATTGAAACATGAAATAACAATAATAATAATAATTTGCTTTATTCCAGAAACAGTACTAGTGGTACAGTGTGGAATTTTCAGCACATATCTACAATATTTGCATCTAATTTTATCAAACATTTAAAAGGAGTATTTCAAAAAATAAATATAAAGGCAACAACAACAAAAAAACAGGAAAAACACAAAATAATTTTTAAAAAATGCGAAAAAAATACCAAGAAGTAGAAAGGAAAATAAACAGCATATAATAATAACTCAGTATTGGGTAGTGGAAGCTATGATATGATTATGCATGGTGACAGTAAAGCTATAGTCATACAAGAAGTTATGAATTGATATTTAAGAATGTTTATCGCCAAGATGATCAGTTAATTTAGGTTGAAACAACACTAAACAATCATAAAATAACATTTCAGGGTTGTTGTTTTGTTTTTATTGTCAGGTCTAATGCAGTGTTTGTAGTGGTAGTGTGAGTAATCCTGCATAATACAAAATTTTAAGGTGGTGACAATGGCGTTCACAACCAATGATTGTCAGTTTAATATTGCCGAAAAGTATAGAAAATAAGAAAAAAACAACCACAAAACTAATAATTACATGATGGTTAATGACAGGACAATTTTGTAATACTCATAGTGCTAATAGAGTCGGAACCAGTGGATACACAATAGAAGGAATACAGTAAAGTACAAAAAAGTAAGCCAATGTTAATAATTTAGGTAGCTAAGTATGTTTAAGAAGGAGTTCACTATAGAATACAAAATAAGAGAGAAATAAAAGAGCCTAAAATTATGTTATTAACAACAAACCAAGTCATAGGTTTCGCGCTTAACATTGTCTCTGTCGCTTAGAACACGGGCCAAGTATGGTATCGTTGAGTTCCTGTACTTGGTTGCACGAGCATAGATTATTTTATACTGATTTCTGGTTCAAAGATTTTAATGGACAAGAATTTTATTTTATTTTCCGTGTAACATGTATAGTAGTAGGTAATGACCACTCAGCAGCAGCAAGCAGCAGCTTCTGATGCATCCTTTATCATCATCTACAAGGTCTGACAAAATTTACTGAAAGGGACACGAATGCATATGCTTTGCATAACGCAAACCTTGCCAGTACATAATATAAAAGTAGAACAGCCAACCTAAAGAATAGTGACCATAGATGAAATGCATCAGTGACCTTGAACGCTCAACGTTCGTTAAATTACAGGATTCACCTCTATTACACAGCCAGTATGAACACTGTGCGCCATTTAAAGTGTAAATTTTATCCACAGCTTGTTTTGGCCAAATTAAACTTTAAGCACCAGTAATTACCAGTGGAGTGTGACCACACCGATGACCACCTTGAAACACTCAATGAACAAGTTAGTGAAACCTGGTAAATAATATTGTGACCATGAATAAAACATGATTAATGAACTGTTACTGTGTTATTAAATGGGATATATGGTAAGTTTCAGGTTAGATTTGGGGAGAGACTAAGTGAAGGTTTAGACTAAGGACAGGTTAGGGTTAGGTTAACCTAGTAAGGGCAACATTAAAGTTTGTTCGAGTTAAAGTAGGGTTAGTTTAGGGATATTTTCACGTTTGTATTAGGTTAAGGAAAGATTAGGATCACTGTTAGGGTTAGAAGACCCAGATAATTACATGCACAAAATATGGTTAAATTACTCCAATTGAAAACTGAGAAGTATTTTTGTCACTTGTCAGAGGAAGGTATCAATGTAAGAGTTTCATGCCTTTTAATCCATTATTTTCATGAATATATGTACTTTATACGCAAAAGTCGGTGGCATAGCAGTTAGGACGCTCCCCCACCATGCACATGGTCTGGGGTTCGATCCCCGACCGACGCACTCCTTTACCTCGCTAAACCAGAAATAATGCTGGTGAAGAGGAAAGGTTGGGCATGAGGCTAGCAACCTCATCCTGTAAAATAAACACTGCTACAGAAACTTCAAGCCACTAGCTTGAAGCCCTATGTTCCACTGGAGAACGTGAAGGAAAGAAAAAAGTAGGCAAAAGTCGCGTTCCAGGTCATTTGTCAGTTGGTGCTTACTGGTGCTTAAAGTTTAACTTTACCCTGACGGCACACAATTTCAAATGCTCTTCTGAAGGTTGTATGTATATCTATCGTTTTTCAGATGCAATTGATGGATATGTATTCAAATGTACAGGCTGTGAAAAAAAAGAATTAGTGTTCTAAATGGTACGTCACGCACTTTATTCGATATAATTTCTAGGAACTTTCCTTCCAAAATCAAACTTGTCACTGACTAATATACTTTTTATTTGCTATTGTTGGGTTATGAAGACTGAGTTGACAACCACAGCTGGCAGCCTGTTGGTTTCTACTATCCAGTGGTAGCGACACTGTAAGGAAGATCAATACCGCTATGCAGCTTCTTTTCGAAAGAGAGGGGACTAGTGTTCATATAGACGAAATTGTCTTGATAAAGAAGAAGAAGAAGACGTACAACGGTGGTCGCCCTAGGGCTAATAATTTGTGGGTATCAGGACTTTACGATACTAAAATTATAGAGGTAACTCCAAATCATAGTGCAAAGACTCTCCTACCTGTCATAAAACGGTTAGCATAATTCATACAGAAGAATGGGCAGGATACAATCGGTTATTAGAGTTGAGTTCCATCCAACATCGTGTCAATCATTCAGATGACTTTTTCGACCCCAGCACTAGAATGCATACTAATTCCATCGAAGGCTCTTGGGGGAGGGGCTGAAGGAAAGGATTCGAGCGATAATCGGCTAACAAAAAAACTGTCATTTTCAGTCATCTCGATGAGTGTGTGTATATAGAAACTGGTTTAAATTTAGATCTGATACTCCTCATAGTAACTCGGAAATATGTTTGACTCATATCAGGAGAGTGCGTCGGTGGCACAGCGGTTAGAACACTCGCCGACCATGCACATCGTCCGGGGTTCGATCCCCAGCCGACGCACTCATTTGCCTCGCTAAGCCAGAAATGAAGCTGATAAAGAGGAAAGGTTGTGAATGAGGCTAGCAACTCCATCCTGTAAAAATAAACACTGCTACAGAAACTTCAAGCCTCCAGCTTGAAGCCCTATGTTCCATATAAGGAGAAGTGGCCTCTTTAATCTACTTTATTTTTATTACTAGTAATTTTACTCTAAATAAACGTCTTTTCCTCATTGGTGCGTTTCAAGATCGCGCGTGCATTCGCACTACTTGGTTGCTATATTCTTTAGGTTTCCCACAAGAACTTCATTTATAAAAACAACTTAGACAATTTCTTTCGTTACCATGGTTTTAATTTCGTCATGTGATGTGTTTTATTTCACTTTATCACATTCTAACATTTATTCATTTTATTTTATTGAAGACACTTCCTTCACTCATCTTAGTGCATTTGGAATTACATATTTACATTTCCGATTGTACTTAAACTTCCCAACATCTTTTTTTTGACGCATATCTATAGAAATTAGTGTTGACCTTTCTTTATTTATTCATATTTCTAAACCAAATTATAGGATTTGTGGGGATTTTTATTTAATTTCAATTATTAGATCTCCATCACGAACCAACACATCAGATAAAGAGATTACTGAAAACCAGCAGGGAGTTAGAGATGTATAGCTGTTTCGGCCTTGTTTGCAACTCTTCATCAGTGCAAACCCATGACCCCGCCACCAAGATTCGAACCCAGGACCTTTAGGTTCCCAAACTAAGCTAGCTGATCATTCAATCACTTGGACTGGAATTCAACGACCCTTGAATTATGACCATTGACATATTGCCCTCGATGAGCATCCTCCACTTCACCTTGACATGGTGGACCTCACTGATCGCAACTTCCCACTGCAACTTGAGCAAATCCATCAAGTAGATATCAGTGAGCTGGGGATATTTCTAATCAATCTGTAATTCATAATAACTTACACTAATATAAGCGCATTTTAATACTTCCACTCGCTGTCATATTTTAACAGACACACAACATACACAAAACTACTTGTTATTCAGTGAGTACATAGGCTATAGCAAAACAAACTTGCTACGCTTGCATGTACGTGCTTAGAGGAATACGATAACCATATCAGATGTTATTTTTGACTGTTTTAAAGGCGTTTTATTAACATTTTTACAGAGCTAGAATATTTGTTGTGGCATCTGCTATACTATGTCACGAAGACAATTCATGATAGGTTTTATTCCCATCCGATCCTATTGTTATTGTCCATCATAATTTAATTTCAAATGTTAGATTTCGTTGGGAGGTAACATCGGGGATCCTGAGATCACTGAAAAACCAGGAGGTATGAGAAAACTATCTCGTCTTATTTTGGAACTCTTCATCAGTCAGAAGCCTGGTTTTCAATGGTCTCCCTAGCTGATGCTGGCCAGTAAAGCAATCTCACAACTGAAATTAAATTAATGTACTCTATTATTATTCCCTTGGGATCCAAGTGGAGCATAGGGCTTTAACAACACATCTCCACTTCGCTCTATTCTTTGTTGTCCTCTTCAGCAGGGTTCACGATTCCCCATTATCTCTCATCTCCTCCTCCAACTCACACGATCTCCTCCATGTCACTCTGGCACTGACGACCCATTCAGCGCTTCCCATGGGGATTCCACTAGAGCTATGACCTGCATTGCGCGCGATGGCATTCGATGGCCACCTAAATGTATGTCTGATCCATCTCCATTTTCTCCTACATAGTTGTTGAACAATCGGCTCTTAGTCGGTTCTTCGTCAGCCAGAGTTTCTTGTTGCTAATTCTTTCTAGCCGGCTGGTCATTTAATTTTTAGTATGGGGCCAGCCAGTGAAGTGTTGAACTATTGATAGAAGTCTGTAACTTGTTGTAGTTGTTTGTAAAATTCCCACAAATCTCATAATCTAAATATCTACTTTAATCCACATTATAAATACCATTGTATAGAGCTATGAAAATGCGAAAATATAGTTTTATCTCAAAACAGGAAATATTAATTTAGCTTTTAAACACCTGTTTATAATAAAAGGAAAAAAAATTCAAAACTAATCATTCTTTTGAATTAATCAACTGAAGCTTTTATAGATGCGCTAATTATCAAGTCATTTCTCATGATTTCATCGATTGTGAAGCACGTTTTTATCAGTTTACGAATAGATGGATTCAAATTCAAATCAAATTTTATTTAAAGTAAATCATTCTTCGTCCATATTTGACAATAATAATCATCATAAAATAGTTACAAACAAGTTTACTTCCTTTCAAGAGTTAATCTGTAGGGATCTGGTTTGTTTCACGTTCGATTACGGATTCAGATTAGTTAGAGAACCATTGAAATTAGCTGGTGCTCGCGCTAAAATCGAGAACATATCCCACTATGGCTAGGTAAAGGTGTAGTTAAAACTATTTGTTTTTCCTTCACTTTCCCCAGTGGAACATAGGGCTTCAAGCTAGTGGCTTGAAGTTTCTGTAGCAGTGTTTATTATTTTACAGGATGGGGTTGCTAGCCTCATGTCGGCCGGGAATCGAACCCCGAACCATGTGCATGGTCGGCGAGCGTCCTAACCTCTATGCCACCGACGCACACAGTTAAAACTATTAACGGCTCGATATTAGACCATCTGGTGCAAACTGGTCACAAAGCCAGCGTAGAAGAATCCTTCTCTATAATATACCGGGTGCCTAACAAATAACCAAAATCATCGAAGCACCGGATGCTCCAAACAGCAGAGGCTATTGCAATTCGCGTGAAACAACCAGTGCTCTGTGTGCCTAAGAAACAAGTTCAGCCCCTACTACTGCCATGGCCTTCAGTAGAGACTATAAACTCATGAATTTGTAATATTATCTTTCCTAATTTTTCTGACATTCAGTTTATTTTATTTTGATGCTGTTCAGCTGTAATTTATCAATATTATTGATTTGATGTTATTTAAACATTAATGTCGTTCATAAGACTAATTCATTCATTCATTATAATGCATATATAACTGTAGAGCCTGATGATGAATTTATCGAAAAGAGTACTCTTTGTTCCGTGTCCATTCTTTTGAAAATTTTAATGGGCATTTTTAATCAGTTAAATCGCAAAATGACAGAAGTTAGAATTCATGGACCATTGAATCGAGTCCCAGTGGATGAATGGTGCAAAAGCTCGCCTTGTAACCGCAAGGTAAGGCGGTAAGTGTACACTGCAGATCAGTCTCAAACTAGTAGGATGACAGAGCTGTGCGGCATTCTCTGCTGGTTTTCAACGGTTCTCTAATTGATATTACTCCGTGATCAAAACTTACAGAATAACTCTTCTTGAAGATTAATTTGATGCTCGCTAATGACTGGCTATAGGACAGTGTTTCCTGTAGTTCTAGTGAGAACTTATCACCACTGGGGTCCACCCAGTAGGAAGTGAGAGTGAATATTCGCCGATGACATTGGCTGGTAGTCACGCTAAAATCACGAATTAGCAGAGCTTGCGTTGTAACCAAAAGGTCCTGGATTCGAACTCTGGCAGTGGGTGCTCACTGCCGATAAGTTTCTTTCTGTTTGCTTTGTTTCACAGATGTAACCACTTGGAAATACCATATCACCAGACATTTTTTAAAGTTTAATGAATCGTTAAAGTGTCTCATCAAAATAATCCTATCAGAATACAATGGAAACAAGAATACTGAACATATTTTCTATTATTATAAAACAGTGTATCAGTTTTAGACGCAAAATATGCTGCTTAAAGTCTAGCTCAAAATACATAAGCTGTTGAATATTTTGCAAAGTAAATTTCAGTTGTTTATAACATGATCACAGTGAATCATTTTGAAATGAGAAATTACCTTAAATTTACATTAGAAAAAAAAATAAAACCGCAAGGTATAGGTGATTAGATGACTTACTGAGCTTCGTGTACTGTTACTTCTAAAGAATTTGAATTGGTATGATATTGAATAGTTAGGCGTATACGTCCCAAAGATGAATTGCTTATTTGTTGCATACTGCCGCTAAGATGATTCGTCATCTGTTGTTGAGCTGACTGTACACTGAAGTTGGTTGATAAGGATTCTGTTGAAGAAACCATATCCTAAATTTGATGGAAAGATTAAAAAAATGTAGAAATTATAATGTGTTGAATAGATATGTGTATTGATCATATCTTCATCCTTTAAAAGATTCTGGAACATAGGCATACTTACCGGCGTCCAATAATCGTTATATTTGATTCTGTCGACCGAGGGTACTGTGGAGATGCTTGGCTGCAAAAGGAATGCCGAGAAAATAAATTGCACTGATCGAGGCACTCTACTCGAACTCATGCAGCCAGATGACAGCTTACGACAAGTTTTCATCTGAACTGGTGACAACTAGTGGTGTCCGACAGGGATGCTCACTATCCCTTTTTCTATTCAATTTCATCAAAGATGTACTAATGGACTTAACCCTAACTCACTTCAGCGACTCAGAGATTGAATTGTTATCAAGGAATAATCTCGTTAACTTAGAATATGCAGATGATATAGTCCTTCTAGGTGAAGACGCTGACATAATGCTGAGTCTTCTACACACCTTGATCTGCAAACTTCGAATGTTTGGCATGCGATTCGCTCCCGCCAAATGCAAGATGATGCTTCAGGACTGGACTGGACTACATTGGCTCCTGGCTTAAAGATAGGCAGGAGTGAAGTGGTTTCTGGAGCGTGTTGACCACTTCACTTATTTGGGAAGTTGCATCAGCCAGTGCCAAAGGGTTGATCTCTGACGAAATCTTTGCACGGATACAGAAGGCTCAGTTCGCATTTGCCAGTTTACGCCGACTCTGGCGTTGACGTGATATCCGGCTGGCTGTCGACCAAAGGGTGTGTGTACTGCTCAGCAGTCCACTCCGTCCTCCTTTATGGATGGCTGTGAAACCAGGCCATTGAGAGCAGAAGACATGAAAAGATTAGCTGTCTTCGATCATAGGTGTCTGCGTTCTATCTCCCGTCTGAAATGGCATAATAGGGTGAGCGATATTGAGGTTAGGCGTCGAGTGCTAGGTAAGCGGGGGAAAACAATCTATGAGGTTGTGGAGTTACACAGATTGAGATAGTTAGGACATGTGTTACGCCGGCGTGCCTAGGCATCGCCCCCCTCGACGGGCAATGTTAGCTGACACAGAGTCAGGTTGAAAAAGAGCCAGTGTTGGTCAAACCAAAACATGGCTTCATCAGTCAATGAAATCCACAACAGTTAGTTTAAGCCACGTAGGGAGATGTAGACTTCCTGACTGGTTGGGGTCCTCGGGACGGTAAAAACCAATGAAGGCTGGAGACATTTGATGATATGGTTCAAAATCGTTCTCAATGGCTGGCGCAGATGCATCCACTCCTTTTGACTTACAATACCCAATAAAACTATGTGGTTCTTCGATACTACTATTCTTCTTGCCTCATGTCTCTGTTTACTGTCTCTCTTTTGAATTTCTTTTTACTTTCTTGTCTTGCTTTGTGTGCTACATGGAGTGAGTGTGGTAACTTGGACTGCTGCACATCGGTGAAAAGTTCTATGTTGAAAACAGTCAGTCAGTCAGTTAGTCCTTGGTCTTCCAACTTGATGTTATTGTCAAACGCTTTAAGTTTTCCAATCGATGTTGGGCCAGCAAAACAAAATAAAAATATAAATGAGTTTAGCCGCATGAAAAACAGATTTTCAGTGTTCCTTTGTAACAACAGAAGGCAAGACATGAAAGCCAAGGTATAGCTTTCATTATTCAAACCGCTGTTTATATATATATCTACATTTTATATTCGTTAACCAATCACAGAGTGTGTGATTTCGGTTTACACTAAACGACATCAAACAGAATGTTCAAATAGATATATATCGTATTCTATTGCTAATGCCAAACTGAACTGTGGGAACATGTGAGAATAACATTCCGTTGGAACACATTGTCTGTATCACACCACCATCACCACTTTAACACTTAAAGAAACATCGATTTTTTTGCCCGACGAGAATTACAAATTATTGAAACCATAGTCTACTACTCACTAGTAGACAAATTCTGCAGGTAAGAAACTGGATGATATTAAGAAAGTCTCAAAGTTCAATACAACACACATAACGATGATATCCAGGGAAAAAAAGAGTTGACTAGATTCACCTTCAATTCAGAAGGAATAGAAAACAACTGTCTTCATCATAATAAATAGAAAACGTTTCCAATAATATATATACATGTATTTTCTTATTAGCATATAACATACTTACATCATTCTCAGATTTACGTTGTCTAACAGCCATGTCTTCATTCTCCACAGATACTTCATCAGACTTATTAATTGGAGTAGTAGCAGCGGCAGCAGCAATTGGCTTCTGCTGATGTCCTTCAGTAGACTGACCACTTTTTATATCTGTATTAATATAACTATTGGCACTTTGTCGTTGTCCAGGAAGTAAAACCTGAAATAAACAAAAATAATTCAATTGATTTACTATAGCACAACCACTAGAGTAAAACTGAGAAACACTATCAGTTAACTAATTATGTTCGCTTTCTGCCTGACGTGTGTTAAATGCTACAACATGGTGAGTACTACTGAGGTTAGGTGTGGAGAGGGGAGAGAATATCAATCGATGACATTGTGAAGCTATGTATCGATTGAGATGGCTAGGATATATGTTACACATCTCAAACCACCGCCTTCCTCGGCGAGTAATGTTAGGTGACATAGGATTGGATTGTAACAGAGTCAGGTGTGGTTAAATCAAAACCTGGAATCCGTCTGTGAAGTGTTTGATGGCTTCAGCCAGTTACGTAGAGAGGTGTAGACTGCCCGGTCGCACTTGTTAATCATTCATCAAAGTAACTGTTTCAAGGATTCTTGTTAACAGAGCTAAGCGTCTAGTTACTAGCGTAGAAGAAATAGCGGGAAATCAAAATTGAATCAAATAATCACCCACCCCCTTCCAAGACTTGGGTTAAGACTGTGGTGATTCCTTATCGCAAGGAAACGTTAGACGAAATAAGGACAATCCTTGACAATCATGACAAAAGAGTGTATTTTCGTGTCAAAAGCACCTTATACTCGTAACTACTAAAGATTAAGACTGCATGAAAGAAAACCAACAGGAATGTATATACAAAATAAAAAAATGTAGGGATTGCGTAATGCTGCATATCTACTAAAAGAAACCTCTAAACAAATAAATATAAGCATAAAAAGAACATAAACAATGCCTAAAGATAAATTCCAAAAATTAGAAAACAAATCGGCGATTGGAAGTTAATTGGTGGATAGTGACTAGCAGTGGAATCCAGGATGCACACTTCATCCTATTTGGGACTCGTCAGCTAAGCGAGTGATGTTCCCACCGAGGCTGATCACTCACTTCGGAATGCAGGTACATCCGGATGACGAGTCCCGAATAGGACGAAATGCGCGCTATCGTGGATTCCACTACTAGTCACCATCCACCAGTTAACTTCTAATTACATGCCCAGACATATCGTCGAAGTATCTGCACAAGAAGCTGACACGTCAACCTGAGACCGAGCACTTCGGTCAAATCAATCGACGGGAAAATCTAAAATTGAATTAAATCAGCGATTGCACTACATTTTAAATTAAAAGCTTTCAGAGAATCAGGAGCTGCAGATAGACCCCTAGCCAAGTTCAACATTTAAAAACTGAAGGACCAGGACACAAAGGACATCTTCACTGCAAGTATAAAAGACAAAGCCGAGACACAAATCAACACTGGCGAAGAGGTCAGCGTCGAAAAGCACTGGAACAACTTGAAAACAGTGTGGAGTCAAACCTGCATGGAAGTTCTAGGCAGAAAGAAGAGACAGGACAAACACTGGCTCATTACGGACACTTGGAAACTAATAGAAGAGAGACGGATGGTGAAACAAAAGATTCTCCAGTGCACCGATGAGCAACAAAAACAGGATTTGAACGCAAGCTACAAGACACTGAACAAAAGAGTAAAGAAGAGTGCCAGAGAAGAAAAAAGAAAGTATTATGAAACCATGGCAAGTGAGGCAGAACAAGCTGCAGGCAAAGGAGACCTCGCAACACTCTACCAAACTACTAGGTACCTATCGGGCAAACGTTTGACAAAGCCTCAGGATGGTCGGGGGTGGGTGCCTTGCGCTGCGGGCTGGTCACCCCTCCGCACACCTCTTGAAATGCTCCCATATGACCAGGCGTCTTACATAGCCTCTCCTGAGGAAGTCCTACTCACTGCCTTCACGTGGCGGAGGTGTTTTTCACCAAAGTGAGAGGGCGAAAGCGGATGCCCGGCGCTCTTCATCGGGTTGACTGTCCATTGGATGACAGTCTAGGAGAGATGGCTAAACCCTGATTCAAAACCTCCAACGACTGGCGTATGAAGCTCACTGGAGCTCACCGGCAAACGTATGGACAAAGGGCTTGTTGGATGTCCTGGATGTCTGGCCCCATTCAAAAAGGCGTATGAACCGAACTCCGGTCACCGGCTGCCAATGGATAGTGGACTCCCTACTCCACTCCTACTGCCTTGTAGGTCACACTTGGTTGTGTAAAGGCTAGAGCTGCACTCTCAAACAAAAGGCCGAGCGATTCTGGGGACATCACTCGTACCAAATTCCCATGAAACTTCATGAACTCTCTTACCTTGTCGCAAAACCTTGCAACAGATCGCCGCGCCTGGGCAGCGATGATTCGAGATGTTCATGAAGCCGGCTCATCCTTCCGTAGGAGATAGCCGAAGTAAAGTAAGTAAAACGTTTGACACAAATCAAGCCGGTGAAGGATGACAATGGAAAGTCACTCAACAAAAAAGTGGAGCAAAGGAAACACTGGGCTGAACACTTCAAAAGACTCCTAAATCGACCGCCACCTACAACGCGCCCAGCAATACCAACAACGGAGACAGAGCTATCAGTGAACACCAACCCCCAGACGAAATCAGAAGTCCTGAAGGCAATGAAGACACCAAAATCTGGAAAAGCAGCAGGACGTGATGGAATTCCAGCAGAAGCATTGAAAACGGACCCAGAGACAACAGCGGACTTGATGACGCCACTACTGGAGAAGGTGTAGAACGAAGGCAAAGTATTCGACGATTGGAAGAAGGGATACTTATTCAAACTACCAAAGAAAGGAGACCTAAGTCAATGCAAGAACTGGCGCGGAATTATGCTCCTGTCCATCCCAAGCAAAATACTAAGCCGCATCATCCTGGAGAGAATCAAACATGCCCTGGATGAAAACTTCGACCGGAACAGGCTGGATTCAGGAGAAACAAGTCATGCATTGATCAGATCGCAACATTACGGATCATCATTGAACAAAGCCTGGAATGGCAGTCACCTCTCTATCTCAACTTCATCGACTTTGAAAAGGCCTTTGACAGTGTCGATCGAGAGGTGATTTGGCAAATACTTCGCTACTACGGGGTGCCACCGACAATTATACATCTCATCCAACAGCTATACGACAATGCTGCATGCCAAGTGTTCCACAACGGGAAACTTACAGAACCCTTCGAAGTGAAGACAGGAGTAAGACAAGGCAGCCTCCTATCGCCAATGATTTTCTTGATTGCAGTAGACTAGATAATGCGACAAACAGTGGGAAAACAGGCATAGAATGGACACACACAAAAAACTTGGAGGATCTAGACTTCGCCGATGATATATGTCTGATTTCCCACAAACTGGAAGATATGCAGGCGAAAAGCAACAAGTTAGCAGAAGAAGCATCAAAGATAGGACCTAAGGTGAACATAGAGAAAACAGAGGTGATGAAAATTCCTGGGCAACACCATCAACAGCAACAACAACAACTGATAACAATCAGCATAAATGGGAGGAACCTGAAAGAAGCAACTCCCTTCACCTACCTGGGAAGCATCGTTTCAACTACAGGCAGACGGAACTGACGAGGATATCAAAGCAAGAATCGGAAAAGCAAGACAAGCTTTCACTACTCTCAAGTCTGTGTGGAGGTCAACAACACTCAGCATCAAAAATAAGATCAGGATTTTCAACTCCAATGTGAAGTCAGTGCTACTTACTCTACGGATGGATCAGAGACTTGCACTGCGCGTCATAAAGAGCATCTCAAACAAACTACAGACCTTCATTAACAGTTGTCTTCGCTCAATACTCAAGATCAGATGGCGGGCCAGAAAAGATCAGCAACAGGGATCTTTGGGAACGAACCAACCAGGAACCGATTGTGAAACAAATAGGCAGGAGGAAATGGAGATGGATTGGCCATACTCTGAGGAAACCATCAAGTGAGTGACATCACTAGACAAGCCCTTGAGTGGAACCCGAAAGGGAAGCGGCGAGTTGGTCGTCAGTGTGAGGGTAACTTGGAGGAGGTTATGTGAAGAGGAGATGAAAGCATGTGGGTAATCCTGGAGTTGGGTGAAGACTCTAGCAGAGAACCGAACGCAACGGAGACGCACGGCTGAAGCCCTATGTTCCTGTAGGAATTAAAGGATACAATAATAATAATAATAATAATAATAATACATTTTTGGAGGGAAACGGGACACGAGATTTAAAATTCAGGATCTCCTTACTGTATACCAAGTCACCCCATGACTTTTATTCTGCCACTTTCTCATTAACAATAAATATACAAGAGTACACCAGTGTTGTTTACAGTGTATAACAAAATAGACTAATGATAAGTTTGTGGAACCATTCATTCAAACATTGATCAGAGGTCATGCAACAAAATTTACAAAATACAGGTGTGGCAAATTACTTAAGTATGAAAAATTGGGTGTGCTTATTTGCATATTTGTTATCTGTAAACAGTTTTGTGTCCTATATTTTCATAATGATATATATATATATATATATAACCAAATGTTTTGTGCAAAATTTACACTGTTTTCAACTCTAAACATTTTAGTGAAACAAAATCACCAGCTTATTAATCCCAGTACAATACAATAAACAAAATCATGAATTGATATAAAATTTGGAATTCATTGGCCAGTGAATCGAGTCTCAGTGACTGAATGGTCGATGAACTTGACTTGTAAACGGGAATTCCTGAGTTACAAACATGGTAGGTGTGTATTCCTGAAGAGTCCCAATCTAGTAGGACTAGTAGGCTGTACAGTACTCCCTGGTTCACAAAAGTTCAATCATAAATGAAACTTGAACCAGATCACACTACTACAAACTAAGTCTTAAAAATTATTCCGATGCTCATTAGTGATGAAGTTGACTGTAGTTCTAGTGAAAAGTCGTGACCCATAGGGTCCACCAGGTCGGGAGTCAGAACAAATACTCGCCGATGATACTAACTGGTGGACAAGCTAGGGCCACGAATTGATAGAAGTTAGAATTCATGAGTTAGTCATTCGATCTGGTGTGAATGGTTGAATGGTCTACGAGATTCCCTCATGACCGGAATATCCTGCATTGGAGCCTTGGCTAGTGGGTATTGCTGAAGAGTCCCACGCTGGGACGAAACATATGTCCAGTACTCCATGCTGGTCTTCAATGACTGATGTCAGCTCGTGAACGAACTTGAAAACATTTCTTAGTTTTTTGACTGAATTTTGTATTTCTCTTCGATTGATTATATTGGATGGGAATGATCGGTGTCTGTGAACATGTCGGCTCCGAGTACGACCCCTGAGGATAAAATGTTTTCATTTTGTGGATGACGACTAGCAGTGCAGTTCAAGATGCGTATTTCGTTCTGTACGGGACTATTCACCTGGATAACGTATTTGGAACACCATCACTCACTGGGAATGCAGGTTCATCCAACCGACGAGATTCCCAAAAGGGATGGAAAAAGCATCCTGGATTCTCCCCAGCTAGTCAACATCCATCAGATGACAAAATGTAGAATTTCATTTACAAAAGTACATTGAGTCATTTCGTTCAGAGTACATGTAGAATGTCATGCTTTAATCAAAACATAAATATTCATATTTACTAAACATATACGGAAATAAATTCGGGTGTCAAGATACACATAAAATGACACTACAACTAACGTTGGAGAAAAGCCTAGTAATGAAAGTACAGACACCTACTTAGATTTCCCTATTTTGTTTCAATAAGGCAATACATAATAATTATAATAATCTGCTTCGCTCCAAAACACAAAGATGTTCATTCTCGAGTAGAGAATTACAAAGATTTTGTGAGAATCCCCTGAGGAAATTCTAACATCTCACTCACTATATAAAGCTCGCCCCGAAAATCAATTCTATGCCGACAGCTGATGATAACTTCCTTCTAATATGATGAAATGCGTATCCCAGAATCCACTGACAGTCACCATTACTCAAAACAATATCCGTACTAGGTGGCCTATCATGTCAACAGAAACTGGAGAATTTGGTCCTATAAAATGAATCAAAGGGAAATGCAATACAGTTAGGGAATCACTGAAAACCACCAGGAAGCATTCGATAGCTGTTTCGTCCTAATTATAGTCTCCCCAGTAGTACGCACCCACAAATGAGGACCTTCAGATTGCGATGAGAACCTGCTGATCATTCAGCTACCATCCTGGAACCGGATGACGGCTGAATTTCAACCTCTTTCAACTCACAGAGTCCCAAACTAGAAAACCAAGAGGTTATTCAGTTTGCCTCTACACGTGATGGTCATAGCCCCAATTTATCAAGCAATTAAGTCCCGAACTAGGACGACATATATGTCTAGTACCAACGGTAGTGTCGTTTTCTAGCGTAATCTAATTTTTTGAAATGGTACTGAAACAAGATAGCCAATTCACTTTATTTCATTAAACTAAATGGATGAATATTTACATCTAGTGGTAGGCTGGATAGTACGACAGACAGCGGGCAGTGAGGAAACAGGCATAAAAACTTGGAGGATCTGGACTTCACCGATGATATATGTCTGATTTCCCACAAACTGGAAGATATGCAAGTGAAAAGCAACAAGTTGGCGGAAGAAGCATCAAAGATAGGACTTCAGGTGAACATAGAGAAAACAGAGGTGATGAAGATTCCTGGGTAACACCACCAACAGCAACAAAAACAACAATCAGCCAGCATAAATGGGAGAAATCTGAAAGAAGCAACCTCCTTTACCTACCCTGCCTGAGAAGAATAGTTTCAACCACAAGCGGACGGAACTGATGAGGATATCAAAGTGAGGATCGGGAAATCAAGGTAAGCCTTCAGTACTCTTAAGTCTGTGTGGAGGTCGACAGTAGTTAGTATGAAAAATAAGATTCGGATTTTCAACTCCAATGTGAAGTCAGTGCTACTTTATGAATCAGAGACTTGGCGTCTCAAGAAGGCGATTTCGAACACACCTTCATCAACATCTGTCTTCTCTCAATACCACTCAAGATCAGATGGCCGGTCAGAATAGATCAGCAACAAAGATCTCTGGCAATGGGCGAACCAACCCAGCAGGAACCGATTGTGCAACAAATAAGCAGGAAGAAATGGAGGTGGGTTGGCCATACTCTGAGAAAACCATCAAGTGACATCACACGACAGGCCATCGCTCGAGTGGAAGCCGAACGAGAAGCGGCGGAGTTGGTCGTCAGTGCAAGGGTGACATGGAGGAGGTCATGTGAAGAGGAGATGAAAGCATGTGGGCAGACCTGGAGCCTAGTGAAAACGTTGGAAGCGATCCGAACGCAATGGAGACGTGTGGCTGAAGCCTAATTTCTTCTAGGAACTAAAGGAAACAATTATTATAATGACTGGTTCAGTTTACAAGAGTGTGAAAAAAAAATAACACAAAATAACATATTTTCTTGGATGCACAATCACTACAACTTACCAATAATTGTAAATGTAAATAAATAGTTGATGTTTCACGACCTGTATCTTGTAGAGTGAATGGTCGTGTAACAGACATATTCTTCTGTGTTAATAACATCTTAAGCGGGATATTGCAAGCGCCTAATTTTGTTTCGGTTCGATTGTCTCGAATCTACAATAGGTTGGAAATTATTTTTAAAAGAAATGACGGAATACAATTGAGTACTAAAGGTATACACGTACTTACATCATACAAAACACACAATGCACTCTATTTATTCAGTCTTCATAAGGTTAAGTGTAAGACTCTGTAACACAAAACAAACTTTTACCCTGGACAATAACTTATTCTTGATTTTTGAAAGAATAATTATAGTATAACATTACACAAGGCAAACTGGGGTTTGAATTTAAGGCACTATTGTTATTACTTCCATTGAGTCCCAAGTGGAACATATAGTCTCGAAAGCACATCCTTGCAGTCCTTTCCAGCTGGCTTCGCAAGTGTCCATAACCTCTCACCTCATCCATCTCACCTTTAGACCCACGCCATACACGTCGTTTCTCATTCAAGCTCCACTTGAGGGCCTACATTGCACGCGATGTCATTTGACGGTCTCCTCAGCGTGTGCCCGATCTATCTCCTCTTTCTCCAGCATATCTGTTGAGTGATAGGTTCTTGGTTAGTTTCTTGTTGCTAATTCTTTCTGGGAATTTAAACTTCATTATGGCGCGAAGGCAGATGTCAATAAAAGTCTGCAGTAGCCTGTTGGGAATGCTTTTCGTCACGCGTGCTGCGCAAGTTTCTGACCTATACAGAAGAACCAACTGACTTAACTCTGGTGTTGAAAATCATGATTTTGTTGTTTGTGCTGAGTGCAGAAGGTTTCGAAAACTGATTTTAGATTGATGAAAGTGCACTTTGCCTTTCGGATTCTGTCTTCCACATCTTCATCCGTTCCGACTGCGTACAGTTGAAACGATGCTTTCTAGATAAGTGAAGAAAGTAACCTCTTTCAAACTTCTCCCATTGATAGCGATTGGTGCTTGCCGTTGTTATTTGTTTGTTGGACATCTTCATCAACTCCATCCTCTCTATATTCGCTTGAATTCTTGCCTTTGTCACCAGTCTCTTCTGTTGTGACTCTATTGGTTTTCGCGTATACGTCTTTGAGTTTGTGTGACATTAAACATAAATAATCTGTAAAGTTCAGATCTTCTAGAGTCTTCCTACTGGTCCAGAGTATTCCTGTCTTCTCGTTCCCCATACACGATGTTCCGCATAATATACAGTACATCATAATTAGGAATATCATTGGTGATAAAAACCAGGTAACCTTGTCTTACGCCTCTCTTCACTTAAAAGTCTTCGCTGAGTTTTCTGTTATGGATCACTTGACATGTGGTATTGTCATATAGTCAGTTGTTGAATGAGGTTGCTACAGATTTAGGGTACTGCACTGCATGGCGTTGAAGTAGTTTATAAATTACTTCGCAGTCAACACTGTCTGTTGAAGGCCTTTTCAAAGTCTATGAAATTAAGGTAGACGTTTGTCTATTGCTCCATTGTGGGTCTCCATTGATGAAGTCTCACAGTGTTATACAATAATGTTTACTGATGACCACATTTCGAGCACAATTTATTACTGCTCATAATCATATCAAGGCACCATTCACACAACTTTCGAACTTTGTTTACATAATTCCACTATTTTACATCTCTTGAATTGATTGGTAGTAGTATCTTCCATATCTCCGGTATGAGTGATGAGTCATTCCTATTGCATCTGCTGGGTGTAGACTCGATGAACAAGGATTCAGTAATCAATTTGTCTCTCCACCTACCTAGATTACTTTTTAGAATTTAACCCTCTCCCACCCTATTGTGTGGTTGTGTGTTAATGCATGCAGTGCAACCGCTGAGCTTTTTTCTAAATTACTTATCTTCGTGAGATCAATCATTCCAACCTTAGCTAAATTCTTATGTTCTGACAGGCAATCTCACTACTCTTGACCTACTAGTTTGACCTATGTAGTTGACCTCACAGTCATTGCAAGGTATTTGTAAATTATATTACTTTGTTTAATTGGGTCCACCACGTCCTTAAGCCTACAGAGCTTGTCCCTGAGTGAGTTTTTAGGTTTAAATGCCACTCTAATTCATACTTTATTCAGAATGCTACTTAGGGTCTCAGATGTCCCCTCCTTATATGGTATAATAGTAGATGCCTTATATTCACTCTTATTTATGTTATCATTATTAGTTTCACAATTATTTTTATTTTGCTTTTGGCCTTTAATGATCTTCCTAATGAATTTTATAGAATAGTTATTTGATACCAACGCTTCTTCTATCTGTTTTATTTTATCATTCAGGTCGATTCTTGTACTACTTATTGCTAATGCTCGGTTTTTGTCGATTGCTACAAGTGAAATAACCCAACTATAGCAGAAGCAAATGGACTCCATCAAGCTGCTTGAAAAGCATCGGGCTTTATCCTCAGAGCTCAATGTTGTTTCTTTGGTTGTAAACTTTTACTTTTTCAATGATTTCTATACTTCTGACCATCTTGATTCTTCATGGCAAAACCCTCCAACAAGTGGAGCATCCAATGATGACATGGAGGAGATCAGGAATTATAGGCAATCATGGGGCCAGAGCTAAAGAGGATCGCAGAAAATAGGACAAAGTGGAGACGTGCTGTTGCAGCTCTATGTTTCTCCACTCAGAACCCAAGGGAATAATAATAATAATAATATAACATGTTTTTAAGCTATGATAGGATTTTTCAGATATCTGTTTACTCTCACAACCAGTGAATGATAGGCATTACCATCTGAATACCGGAAAGGTAGGGAGCTTAAAACTCATCAATATAGACTCATAAACCAGTCACACATATCTGCACACAATTACTGAGTTGTATTATTATTATTATTACTATTATTCATATACGGCATTTCTAACAGGTTGCGGCGGACTTCAATCAACAGCAACCTACTTCTCTGGCCCCATACTAAAGATCAGATGGTCCACTGGGGGAAAACAATTAGCAACAAAACACGCTGCGAACGAACCAATCAACATCCAGTTATTCAACAAATGTTCCCAGGAAAATGTAGATGAACTGAGCACACGCTGAGGAGACCATCGAGTGAAATCACGCGCCAGACCATTTACTCGAGTGAGAAACGACGAGATGAGCGTGTATCTGAGATCGACATGGAGGGGCATCATGTGAGATGAAAGCTTAGGGTAATCGGAAGGACCAGCCGAAGAGGACCGCAGAGAACAGGAAAAAGTGGAGATATCCTGTTGAAGCCCTATGTTCCACTCGGAAATAAAGTAAATAAAAGCAAAGCATTACCCCTGTAAAAACAGTTTGTAAGTTTTAAAAGCAAAGGTATGTATCAACTCATTAGCACTGAGATTCGGTAATACACACACACACAGAGAAGTCAGAGAGTATTTTGATGAAAATCAATCAGCTGAATGATTAAGAAATAACTTACAATCAATTGTAGAATGTCGACATTAGGATCACTAACAAGAAAGTGATGAACAGAATTCCAAACAGGATTTTGTGTTTTCTCCTTTACATCATTCGATTGATAATCACGTCCCAAATGTAGATTACAAAATGGTGATGGTTCTTGAAGTTGTTTTACGCACTAAAGCAAGCAAAAACAAACAGAACAAAAAATATATTAAAGAAAAACAGATAATCTGGAGTCATGAATTTGAGAGAAGAAAAATAATTTTTGGTTGGCTTGAACAAAGAGAGGATAAAAGATGTAACAGGATAATATGAGATCATTTTCAAGTATTGCTTTGTAGGGATTTGAATGATTGGTTACAGGATTTCATCAAGAGCTGACATCGATTAGAGGGTCACTGGAAAAATTGGGAGTGCTGGACAGCCAACTGTTCCATCCTAGTTTGGAACCCTTCAGCAGTACACACTCACTGGGGCTCGAATCCAGGACCTGTCGTGTGATGTCACTTGATGGTTTGTTATTTCAGAGTATGGCCAATCCACCTCCATTTCTTCCTGCATATTTGTTGCACATTCGGTTTCTGGTTGGTTCGCCGAAGGTCTCCCCTATTTCGATGGTTTACTTACCTGATATGTGTATATGAGATTCGGTGACTCAGATTCAACTACGTAATGATAATGACTGCCTCTGACCCTTTTCATATTTTTTATTCCTTTATATTCTGAGTGGAACATAGGTCTTCAAGCTATATCTTTGAAGTTTCGTCAGCAATGGTTTCATTTGTACAGAGGTACAGGAGTTTCCAGCCTAATGCCTAAACTTCCGTTTTTATTGTCCCTACTACAGGTTTAGCGAGGTGTAGGAGTGCGTCTGCCGAGGATCCAATCCCGGACCACGTGTGGCGTGGTAGGTGAGCATTCTACCGCTGAATCCACAACGCGTCCGACCCTAAGTACACACAAATTGTCAAACGTCAAACAATTCCTAGGTTAATATTTCCTGCACGAAAAATGAGACGACCATATTTGAAAACTGAGCCAAAGAATTTTAAATCAATTCTTTTCACGAAGTTATAAAAAAAGTTAGATTTTGCACTTCAAAGTGGCACACCATCACTGTGTTTGCGAAAAAAAACTGAAAGAGTTTCATTTCCGCTTCCCTCAAAGACCGTCGAAAGACAAGGCCCTTAAGTGGAATTCGAATGGAAAACAGCAAGTTGAGCGTGCTTCCAAGAGTGACACACACACAGAAGATCATGTGAGCAGGGCAATCACGGAGCCAACTTTAAAAAACACCTTGAGCAACAATCTTCGTATGTTCGGCATGCGATTGACCCCTGTAAAATGTAAGATGGTGCTGCAGGATTGGTCTACACCGACTCCTAGATTAGAAATAGGAAGTGAAGTGGTAGGGCACGTTGACCGCTTCACTTACTTAGGAAGTACCATCAGACCCAACGGGGTGATCTCCGACGAAATCTCAGTACGAATACAAAGGGCTAGTTTCGCACATGCCAGTTTACGCCGTCTCTGGCGTAGACGTTATATCCAGCTGGCTGTCGACCAAAGGGCGGGTGTACTGCTCAACAGTCCGCTCCGTCCTCTTTTATGGCTGGCTATGAGGCCAGGCCATTGAGAGTGGAAGACATGAAAAGATTAGCTGTCTTCGATCAAAGGTGTCTGCGTTCTATCTCCCGCGTGAAGTGGTATGATGAGGTGAGCAATATTGAGGTTAGGCGTCGAGTGCCAGGTAAGCAGGGGAAATCAATCGACGAGACTGTGAAGCTCGACGACTGAGATGGTTAGGACATGTGCTACGTATGCCTAGTCACCGCCTTCCTCGACAATGGGCAATGTTAGCTGATATAGGGCCAGGCTGGAAAAGAGCTAGCGGCGGTCAAACCAAAACATGGCACCAGTCAATGAAATCTACAACAGTTAGTCTAAGCCACGTAGGAAGGTGTAGACTTCCTGACTGGTTGGGGTCCTGAGGACGGTAAAAACCAGAGGTTGGAAACAATTGGTGATATGGCTCAAAATCGTTGTCAATGACAGCGCAAATGCATCCACTCCTTGTGACTTATAATACCTAATGACACTATATTGTTCTTTGTTATTACTATTCCTTTGTCTCACACTTCTGTTTACTGTCTATATTATGCATTTCTCCTACTTTCTTCTCTTGCTTTGTGTGCTACATGGAGGGAGTGTGGCGACTTGAACTGCCACACATATGTGCAAAGTTCTATGTCGAAAACCGACCGACCAACCAACTTTAAAAAACACAACAGAGAGAACAGGATGAAATGAAGACACATTGTTGAAGCCCTTTATATTCCACTTAGAATCCTAAATAAAAAGCTGAAATCAATCTCATATACTTAAGTAATAAACAAACAAAAAAGATAACTTACAGGTAGATTATGCGCCTGTTCAATAACCACATATAATAGACCAGAACTCATACTACGTCCAGAAGCTTTACGATATTGCAGAGCCTGTTCCATAGCCTATGACAGCATCATCATAATCAAGGAAGATGAAAAAAAAAGCAACAATAAATAAACGAGTAAATATATAAACGCTGTTTTGTTTTTGTTTTTTACTTAAAGGTACAAATATTCCAAACTTGAATGAGCAAAGCAGATCAAATTATGCGAAATAATGAAGTCATTAGAGCAGCATGAGTTGACAACAAGTAACAAACAAACCAACAAACAAACTATAAAAAATAATCACACAGACAACAACGCTGAGACATTCATTGTAAAACAGAGAAAAAGAAAAACTAAACAAACAGAGATCATTAGTAAATAACTAAGATTTTAGTACACCATTGTGTCATGAGACTGCCTTGTTGTTGATTGCACATATACATATACATTTATGTATATGTATATGTGTGGGTGGTATGAGCATGCATCACACACAGAGCGACTCAATCTTGTTTACATATAGTTTCCAGCGAAAATCATATTAGAACTACACCACCCCCCCCCCCCAAAGAAGATTAAAAACTATCGAGCTAAAATGTTTTTTTTAAAAAAAAAAGAGGACAAAGGAGGTCCAGTATGTAATTTACACACATTTTATAAGCCAGTCATACATTTCTTGAGTTTCAATTTAGTTTACAGTTTGAGGCACAAACAGAGCACTGTAGTATGGTGGAGGAGAAGTTGCAAATCTATGCTTTATCACGTTTACTTCGTTTACACACTGGTAATTAATGACAAAATGTATTATTATTATTAGACCCTTGCGTTCAGAGTAAGATGTAGGGCTTCAAATGCACATCTCCATTTCGTTGTGTTCTCTGTGGTGCTCTTCGAATGGTCTCACGATTGTCTATAAGCTGTCATCTCCTCTTCCTCCTCAAACAATCTCCTCTAGGTCACACTCCGATAGACACCCAATGCGTTGTTTCTCATTCGGGTACCACTCGAGG